ATATATATATATATATATATATATATATATATATATATATATATATATATATATATATATATATATATATATATGATTTCTTTATTTTTCATAATAATATGGAAACGTCTGATGTCTGCGTTCCGAAATTCACTGCCAGTACTGAAATTCTATAGTGTACGTAACATAAACTATAGATTTTCAGTATTGGCAGTGAATTTCGGAACGCGACTATATTTTAAAAATATATATGATTAATTGTACAAAAGTAAATTAAAGAGAGCATTAAAGTAAAAAATAATTTTAAGGCTCCTGTGCTGGAATTCTGTAACTCGTTATTGGAGTTAACGACAGTTTCGTTATCGTTGTGCAACTTTTTTACGATATACAAAAGCTACGCAACGATAAAATGAAATTGTTAACAATAACAAGTTACAGAATCCCAGCACAGGGAACTTATTAGGCTGCGTTCCGAGATCCATTGCCAATACTGAAAATCTATAGTTCATGGGTCTGTTTTTTATTGCTGAACTAGTGTACACTTTCTAGTGAAACTTAAAAGGAGACAGATACAAAGATAAAATTTGGTGGAAGAAAGATAAGAGAGAACTAGTGCAACCTGTTCAGCAACAGAAAACAGACCCCATATTACATATACTATAGAATTTCGGAACAGCCTATAAGCAGAGCAGTGAATTTCGGAACGCAGCCTATAAAGAGCGCACGCAGAGAAGACACCAACACCTTTGGACACACGTCACACAGCTGACGTATCTTTACACACATACCACGTTACCTGTCAATGCTGTCGATCGAGGAATTGAATACAACACGTAAAACGGTACGTAATTGTGCAGTTAGCGTGAAGTAGTTATACACAGTGAGCACGAAGAAGATTAAACACTGTACGTTTATTCGCATAACCTCTCGACGTTGTTAACGACATTTAATCAACGAATGAGCTTCGGAATCGTGTACTGCTGAGCCCGTCATCGTTTTTCCAGTGAAAGGTGAGTTTCTCATACCAATATACATATATGCAATTAGGGGTGCGATAATTCGTTTGGTGAATGACCTGGGAGACTTCACACTCCAAACACTTCACACTTCAAACACGATTTCTCGTTACATACAAGTGTGAAAACAATAGAGCGCTAGAGAAAGGATGCGTCGAAAGTTAGATAAGACTAATATAAAAGACGGAATGTTCTGTGCCATGATCATGTGTCATCAATGATTCTTCCCAAATTGATGTATACGTTTATAGAATTGTTACATACGTCTTTACAGTTTTGTAATATTTGTGAGACTACTAGAATCATTACTCTTAAAAGAAAAAAGTAGAATATATAATATATATAAAATAAAACAAATCTTTCTGTATCTTAATATTATTAATATAATACAAATCAGAGAGATCACATAAGATATATACAGGCATGTAATATGCTAATAAATTTTTGATTCTTGTTTAATTCTAGCATTGAACTTGAATAGTTGATATTGTAATACTGACTACTATATATGAAAGTAAATCATAATACTTAAAAACAGGTATAAGATATAATAATTGTGTTGTCTTGTTAATGTGTAGAACCTATATTTGTTTATAGATGTCATTGACATTTCAACAAATTTTTATGGATGCCAAGAAATTAGTTGTTCGAATTACGGATCATGAAAATACAGCGGATACTCTGATAAGTGAGGTAGAAGCAGTTTGTGGTCAAATTGATAATATGAAACAGGTAAGCATTATTTATGTTGTGATTATACAAAATTTTTTGATTATCTTATTACACATTTATAATTGCTTTTATATTTCTGCAGTATCAAGAAGAAATAGAAATTTTAAATATGGAAGCAAAACAAAGGCCACATCTGCAATTAATCGCTGGAATCCAAAGGGAAAATAGACATTTACGAGAAATACAAGCGGAAAATAAAGAATTAAGGAGTGCATTGGAAGACCATCAAAATGCACTTGAACTTATAATGTCCAAATATCGACAGCAAACTGCCTCTTTATTACGTCTTAGTAAAACTGATTTTTCGTCGTTGCACAATTCAAAGTATGCTAATGTAAGTAAATATAATTTTGACTGCGATAATAAAAAAGGATTTACAATCTTAAGTTTAAAAAATTTGCTTTTAGTTATTAACGATTTTGCTTTTATTTTTTCAATTGAATATTATGTAAAACATCGGTATTTACAGTTATTTACAATTGTTTACTTAGATAATATATAGGCATTTATTTTTATTTTGCCATCACAGATTATAACCAGTCAAGCAGAGAAAATTAACGAAATGGCAGCTGTAATGAAAACTGCCGCCGCCTTAGATGAGGAAAATGAATTGAAAGAGAAGGAAGCATTTCAATCGTTGAAGGAAGAGAACATCGTGCTCCGTGAAATAATTAATATTGCAAATAAGTATGGTTCTATAAACAAAGAATGTCCTGTAGAAAACAAAACCGTTCAAACAGATCCGTCGATAGATTAAAGAAACTTACTAGAGTTTGCGATCCTTTTTACACAAGTTGACCAGTATTTATTTCATATACACAAGTTCATGATACACACACACCCACACACACTGATACATATTACATAAAATATTAATATTAGATAAAATTTATTGCTTATAGGTTTAAAGTATATGTGCAAGTTGTGTAGTATACATATGTGTGTATGTGTGTGTGTGTGTGTGTGTATATGTGTATATGTATATATATTACTTATTATCTATTAAATACTTATAATAAATTATATAAGCCATTTGCCACTATTTAATTTGTTATAATTTATATCATTTATAATTTATATCATTTAATATATATTGAAATTCTTGTTATGCGATTGCACGTTATTTTTATTTTATATTTATTAATTCAAGAACAAGTTGCTGCATTTTTCAAAGAAAAATTAATGGACAATTATATTAGAGAACAAAAGTTATATTCATTTCAATATCTATTTTATATTTATAATTAACATCAATCTTTAAAAAAAAAAAAACTGTATACTAATAAGTTACTAAGTGCTATTTCTAACTTTGTTCAAGTAAGGTGCTAGACGTCCCGATTTTCTCGGGACAGTCTCGATTTTTCACCCTTTGCCCCGAATTTTTTCGAGTACTATTCGGGACACCGATTTGTCATCATTTTCAATTATTGTCAAATAATTTTCGGATCTTTTAACCCCCCTCTCTCCGGCTCCCGCTTCACACATTTATGAAGTGTCTCGAATTCAGGGCTGGAAAATCAGGCCACTTTAGCTTAAGTAATTAGTATAATGATTTTAAAACAGTTGATGTAAACATAATAGTGACAATCGGGTGTATTTCTCGATTTCTAAAGTCCATTTGTCCGGCTAAGTTGTAAAATACAAATCCATTTTTTTTTTAATATAGCGAGATATTTTTCATTTATTACATAATGGTCAGAATGTTAGTGCTTTTGGTCTGCAGATGATATTCCTTTAAAATTGCTACTTGATGCTCTTTTTCCATAAAAAGATGATAGAACAGATTAAGTAATGATAACATATGAGGAAAAGCAAAATGTGTGTCAACAAAGAAAAATAAAAGATAATTTAGAATTTGGTTAGAAGAAAAATGAGTGCATTTTTGTTGTGTTTTATCTATTATTAGAAATGTATATTCAAGTCAGTGCTCAGAATTAATTGTACTTTCAGTGCAATCATCGAATGTCTACATTGTAATTATAATTACATTGTAAAGGATCTTCTCAGTTTTTGATAAAGTGGATTAATTTAATTTTTCATCATACATTTCTGTCATGAATTTTAATTGTAAACTTATCTAAACGAGTTCATAAAACGAAAAAAATTATTTTATTACTTTTTCTAATATAAGAATAAAGGATTAATTAGAGTTGAATTCTCATTTTGTCTTTTTATTTTTACATATACAGGGTGTCCGGTATTTGATTGAGCAACCGCCGTGTACGGATAGAACAGGTCAAAATAATCATAAAAGTTAAATACCATTTTGAAATTTTCTCAATATTTATTCTGTAATTAATTAAAATGTATAAACAAATGAGCTTACGAGAAGCGGTAGGACAGGCTCTGTGTGTAAAAGAAATGGCTTACCTCTAGAGGGACGTCTACATTGGAAGTAAGCAGTAAGAAGTAGGAAGTAAGAATAAGAAATTGACCAATCATAGTTGATTATTCTTCTCACATTCGGCTATGCCCAAAACCCACTCTATTGCTTCCCCCAACTTATTTCTTCCATTCCTCATTCCCTCCCGCACCTCTCCCACATATGTTCCCATGTCTCTTCCTCTCCCTCACATATCCTACACTTTCTTTTCTCCTCCTCTTCCCAGTACTGTCCCTCTTTCATCTCGTTTCCTAACCTAAATCTAATTATCCTTCTCCATCTTTCCTCCGCCCATCCCTTCTCCAAATACTTTGGTATTTCTTTCTTCATTAACCTATCATACCATTTATTATATCTTGACTCCCTTATCCTTTCCCATCTCTCCTCTTTCTGTCTCTCCCTCTCCCTCTCCTCCATCTCCTCTAATTCCCTCTCTTCCTCTCCGTCCACCCCAATTCCTCTCGGGTGTATATCAGTTGGACACGGGGCAATTGGACACAGTCCAATTACAAGTCGCTGTTCCAAGGGACCCTACAAATGTCTCTAATCACACGGTGCTGTGATTGGCTGTGTCCAAATGCACCGTGTCCAAGTGCACCGCTCCCATTCCTCTCTCCCTTCGGAATTCCTCCCTCTCTCTCTCCCATCCTTCCTTAATCCTTCCTTTCCTCCATCTTTCATTCATCTCTTCCCAGCACCTTCTCGCTATTTCCCCTCCTTCCCCTTCCCCCAGTCTTTTCTTAAACTTTTATGCCCTTCTTCCCGCTCTTGTCCTCATTTTTTCCCTCCCTAATTCTTGTCTCACCATGTATCCCGGTGTTCTCCAATCTAATCCCATCGTCCATCTTAAATATCTTTTATGCATTTTCTCCATCTCTTCTCTCTCTTTCCATCCCCACACTTCCACTCCATATCCCATCACGGTCCATACCAGTGTATCATACAGCCATATCCTTCTTTTCCAAACATTCTTTTCCCTATTTCCCATATTTCCCTCATCGCTACTACTGTTTTCTTCCTTCTATCTCTTATCTGTTCTTCCTGTCCTCCATTCCCTTGCACCATGTTGCATCCTAAATATTTAAACTTCCTTACCTCCTCTAACTTCTTTCCTTTCCAATACCATCCTATCTTCTTCCTCCTACCCCCTCCCCTCCTGAATCTCATCACTTTTGTCTTCTCCGCGTTCAGCTCCAGTCCCTTATTCTCTAAATTAGTCCCTTATTTTCCAACCTTCCTAATACACTTTTCATCTCTTGTTCCTCCTCTGCTAATAACACTACATCGTCCGCATACGCCAATGTATACACT